ACCACCCCTAACCCCAAGTCAAGTTCAAGTGTTCTGAACTCTGACCCTCTCAAGTTAAGGGCATTGGGTAAGGAGCTGGCTGACCCAGTATCTCTGACAGATCATGCTTCTGTTGTGGCCACCGTTAAAGGAAGCCCACCCAGAGAGTGTTCACTCCCTTCCCTGTAGATACAAAACTGAGAGCCAAGAATGTAAATACCTGGACATAGCAGAGATTGTGCTCCAAAGCATCCAAACTCTTATTTCAGGCAGTTCTGCAATTACATCAGTATCATCCTTGAGTAGGATGCTATTTTGAGATGATATTTCTATGCATCCTAAGACTATAGTCTGAGCAAGAAACTCACAGGAGAAGCCAACTACCTACTAACCCAAGGAAAACACACACACAAAAGAAAAACAAACATTTGCCATAGAGTTGATTTCAACTTGTGTGTCAGAGTAGAACTGCTCTATTGGGTTTTCAATGGCTGCTCTTGTGGAAGTAGATTGCCAGATTCATCTTTTGAGGCACCTCTGTGTCCTAGTGTGGTGCTGTAGGATCAGCACTGGAGTGCTGACCTTAAGGTTGGCAGTTCAACTCCTTGGATACCCTATGCAGGGTCGCTGTGAGTTGGAAACTACTCAATGGCACTTAACAACCCTACAGCAACATCAAGATGATAAACTCAGACGGCCAGCCTCTAAATTAGCAGTCAGGCACGTTAATCATTTGCACCACCTCGAAACTCCCAAGGAGAACCCCAAAGTCTTGTTTAAAGCCTCAGACCCAAACTGTGCTATAAAATTTTATAATTCTAACCCAGATGATAAATCAATGGTTCAAGTGCTTTGTTTCTGTTTTTAATGCTAATGTTCTTTGTTGAACAAGGTAATGAAAACTGTTGACCAGAGAGGAATCAAAAGGAACACTGAGTTAGCTGTAACTCAGTGGTACCCAATGCCATTGTTGGAATTGGGCACTCCCTTCTGCCATTTCCCTCCTAGCAGAATCTTGTTTAATTTTCCATCGCCATAGATTTAACTACAAAGGAGAGCATCAGCGTCTTGCATTTCTTATTCTTACTGTCTTCTGTGTGGACTTAGGTTGTATTTGTCCCACAGTCTCGCTTTCAGTGCACCCTCTAAGCCTCTTCCTAATTAAGCTACCTAGATCTTAAAAATATACCATTTTTTAAAATTCCTCCAACTTTTAAAACTTCTTATTGTGAGATGAGTGAAGGTATACAGCTTTCCATTCAACAGTTCATACCCATTTTGTTTCATATCATTGACTGTAATGCCCACAATGTAACATCGCTTATCCCACTTCCTGCCTGTGTTTCCTATGTTTAATCCTCCTTCTTTCCTAACACTTCTGAACTTTGTCCTTGGGATGCCATTCTTTTTAAAATTTTTATTTTTGTTGTTGTTGTGAAGAATATACACACGGGACACCAATTCAATAATTTTTACTTATACAGTTCAGTGACTTTCATTATATTCCTTGAGTTATGTAACCATTCTCACGCTCCTTTTCTGAATGGTTCCTCCCCCCCATTCATAGAACTCACTGCCCCCTTAAATTTCCTATAGAATCTTTCGAGATGCTGTTGTAAATTTCATCACCTATAGACAATGAGGACAATGCTCATTCATACCGTTCTTTTCCAAAAAAAAATAAAACAAATCTGTTTTAAAGAGTGCGAAATTAGAACATCTCAAGATAACTCTGAGCACACCACCATGTGCAAGGTCACGAGTGTGGCTTCTGGCATCACTGTGGTCAGAGCCCTGTTGTTGAATGAACACAAAGGTGCCTAACAGCTTTCACAGGATTCTGTGCAGTTTCCTCTGAAGGGCATATGTTTCATAAGGGCCCATTTATGTGGGTTCATATCTTCTGTATGAGCAGGCAGCATGATCAACCACCACACCCATCCCCCTGAGATGCCATTGTGATTTGTGTCTAATAAACTTGGGTTTCCAATGTGCATTTACTAACCTACTTTCTCTATTGGATTTCTCAACTAGCTTTTCTCTTTGACACATGGGCCTTTTCATCGCAGAGAGGAGGCCAATAATAGCATGGGTCTGTGAGTGTGCTGTAGCTTAGGGGTCTGCTAGAGACACTTGGAAAGTTACTCTATGGAGGTGCCTTTCCATCTTCACGGTTTAAAAGTTCTTCTTTCCACACTTCTAGAATGGGGAGATCATTGACATTATTGATACTCAATAGCTATTTTTTCTTAGTGAATTTACAACTATCAACTCTACACTGCATGATTGAACTCTGAGAAGCTCAGTGTTATTATGATGGTGTTATCCATTTTAAAAGGAGCTCTGCTAGCATAGTGGTTACGAATTGGGCTGTGAACCTCAAGGTCAGCAGTTCAAAACTACCAGTGGCTCCGTGGGAGAAAGATGAGGCTTTCTGCTCCCGTAAAGATTTACAGCCTCGGAAACCCTATGCAGGGTCACTATGGGTCGGAATTGACTTGAAGGCACTTAACAACAACATCTATTTTAAACCTAAGGAAAAAATACAGGGAATCCTGAAGTCAGATGCCTGCATTTGTTAAAATAATTTGTTTCCCGTGAGGTTTTGTTTCAAAGGCAAAAAGCATATGGTCAAAAACTTGTATTTTTGTCAAAGTTGTCCTTGAAAATCCCCTTGATTACCATAAAGTACAAGATGAGTCAAACTTAAAAAGTCAGTTTTTGCCTAGTGATTGAACAGACCACCATTATTTTTGTCACTGAGTACCCAATAAAGTTGTTGTTGTTAAGTGCTGTCGAGTAGGTTCCGACCCATAGCGACCCTGTATCTGGGGAGAGGCTGGTGAGTTTGAACTGCCAACCTTGTTGGTTGTATTTAAGAGTCATAGTAGATGAATGCACTATTTTTTGCACAGGAATCTTCATCACTATGGTGATATGCTCATGGTACCATAAGCATGTGGAATGGAGACCCAGGTAGGAGCAGATGCACATCTATCTCAGGCTCACGCTGGGACATCCACTCAAGAAGTGGAGTAGCAGCGAGATGCCCACACTATTTTAACGGTTGTGTGCTTTTTCCTTTCATTGTTTTGTGTGTGTGGCAAAATACATATAGCATAAAATTTACCGTTTTTATCTTTTTTTTTTTGTAAAAGTATAAATTCAGTGATAATCACATTCACCATACTGTGCAGCCCACACAATTATCTATTTCAAAATTTTTCATCACCCTAAACAGAAACTCAGTACTTCTTAGGCAGTATCACTCCTATTCCTGGTCCCTGATGACCTCTAGTCTACTTTGGTCTCTTATGCATATGCCTATTCTAGATATTTTAAATAAGTTGCTGTTGTTGCTGGTAAGTACTGCTGTCAAGTCAGTTTCAACTCACAGCTACCCTGTATAGAGTTTCCAAGGCTATAATTGTTTGCAGTAGGAGCATACAACATTTGTCTTTTCGTCTCTGACTTATTTCATTCAGCAGCTCGTTTTCAAGGTTCACCCACATCATAGCATATATCAGAACCTTTTGTCATTTTTAACTGTCAAGTATGTGTAACTAAATTCACTTGAGGTGAGTGTGCAGGATACCACTGTGCTGGACTTAGTTTACCACCATTAGCTAGGGCACTCCACGTGACTTTCCTTCAAGAAACTCAGCATTGTGGTGGAAGCATTCACTTGGAAAAAAAAAAATTCTGTGGAAACTTCCAGGTTGACGTATCTAGGACAACAGATGGGGAGCATCCTCTGTCTCCATGTCATACATTAATATCAGTAATATTTGCCATGGTCTTAATAAGAGACATTTGTTTGTACTACACTTGGGCTATGAAACAGGTTTTACTATACACACCACAAACATCTTAGTCTTTGACACCAAAGTCAACCAGCACCTCCCAGCTAAGGAGTACATCTTAGGCGTGTGCTCCACGGAACAACAGCTGGTTTAGGACAGTGCTGTTCTAGAGGAGTTCTTTTGTGCAAGCTAAACTAGGAAAAGAGTTCCTGAGTGCTGCAGCTGGTTAGGGTGCTCGGATGCTGACTGAAAGATTGGAGCAGACTTTCAAACCAGTTTGAAAAGGTCCGTCACAGCCACCAGAAACAAGGGCCACAGACACACTGAAGAGCAACCAAATCGCTCGGGTGTTAGATTTTGACGCAAGAAGGAAACAAGCAGTGGTGCCCACTCAAAGATGGCAGCCCGGACCATGCTACTTTCAGTGTATGTTCTTTGGGGCACCATGCCTGTTTCTTGTTGTTGTTGTGCTGTGGAGTTGGTTCCGACTCATAGTGACCCTGTACAGGGTTTCTGAGGCTGTAAATCTTTACGGGAGCAGAAAGCCTCATCTTTCTCCCGTGGAACAGCTGGTAGTTTCGAACTGCTGACCTTGCAGCTCGCAGCCCGATTCATAAACACTACGCTACCAGAGCTCCTTAGGCCTGTTTCTTACTTGGGTCAAACTCCAACATGCAAGAGATCTAGTTGCTATGCAGTGTATACACTGCCCTTTTTCCATCTGCCATGACTGAACGGGTATGAAGCCCTGGGTTGGAGGTTCAAGTTCACCCAGAGGCACCTTGGAAGATGGCATGGCAATGTACTTCTGAACACTCAGCTATTAAAATCCCTAAGGAGCACAGCTCTACTCTGACACGTGGGGACACCATGAGTCCGAATCAACTCCATAGCAACAGGTGGGTAAACTATGAAAGCAGAGCCGAGAGTCTCAAACATACACAACCTACAAAGAGAATTGTTTCTGGGGAGACGCTTCCTGGCTTCCAGGAGGCTTTTCTGGTCTATGTGGTGCCTGCTTAGTGAGATCACTGTGTTAATACTAAACTATGAAAATTGAATCTTGATCGCAGTGCATGATGGCCCCAGAGCCAGGCTGTGGTGAACTTTGGCAGCCTCTTATGTGGTACCGTTTATTACCCTCAGGTGAGCAACCAGCTAGAAAAACCAGTCTGAAAGTCAATATAGCCTTAACAAATGATTCTCTTGTTTTTACAGAGAAAGGATGCAAGCCATGGAGAAACAAATTGCCAGTTTAACTGGTCTTGTTCAGTCTGCGCTTTTTAAAGGGCCAATTACAAGTAATAGCAAAGATGCTTCTAGGTAAAAAAATAAAAAATAAAAATTAAAGAAAGCAAACCAATGAAACCATAATTTAATCTGTTTCTCTTTAATCATTAAAAGAATCCATTCATTCAAATCAGTTTTCTTTTAATCATTTCAAGGCTGAAAATATTCACATCTCTCTGAATCATGGGTTTGTTTGTTGTTTTTTCCTGGTAATTCTTGGTCAAAGGTAACACTTGGGCCCAAGAAGGATACGTGGGCTTCCCAGTGCATGTGGCGCTCATGGATGTTGCACTGCTACTTCCTGCACCCACCATCCACGTGTCTTCACTCCATCCTCTGACACTTAGCCCTCAGCTGCATCCCACCGCCACACCTGGGAAGCCTTTTCCATCCCAGCCATAGTGGTGCTGATGTCAAAGTACTCTCATTGCTTGATACCATCACTAGCTTCTGCTAATTGCTTAGAAATAGTGATGTAAGGGACAAGAAAAGGGGGGTATTTGGGAAACAATATAGTTGACTCTTTTTTTCTTTTATTCAGAGAGAAAACGATGAAAACTACAGCCAGTAAGACCCACACGGATAGTACAGGTACGTGCTCTCGGAAACTTCAGGCATCCTGGCTGTAAAGAAATGTTGTCTGCCCGGCACCATTTCATCACCGTTGGCAGTTACTAATGCTGCCTTAACAAAATATACTGCTGTAAACAAATGTATATTTCACAGTTAAGGAGGCTAGAAGTTCCAATTCAAGGCATGGCTCTAAAGTGGTGGTGGTGGTTATGTGCTGTGGAGTCAGTTCTGACTCATAGCGACCACCTGTACAGGGTTTCTGAGGCTGTAAATCTTTACGGGAGTAGAAAGCCTCATCTTTCTACCATGGAACAGTTGGTAGTTTCAAACTGCTGACCTTGTGGTTTGCAGCCCGATTTGTAACCAGTACACTGCTGGAGCTCCTTGGCTCTAAAATAGGGCTAGAGAATGTCCAGCTCACAGGCCGTATTGTTGATGTTAAGTGCCATTGAGTCATTTCCAAATCAAAGCAAGCCTGTATAGGGTTTCCAAGGAGCGGCTGGTGAGTTTGAACTACCGATCTTGCAGTTCAAACTGACCTTGAGTTTGCGTGCTTATTGTATGGCACCATACAACCTGCAAAATCATTTTGGCCAGGCCCTGCCAAGGAAACCACAAGACCAGCCATCACATTCTGTTGTTGTTAGGTGCTGTCAAGTCAATATTGACTCAGAGCGACCTTATGCACAACAGAACGAAACACTGCCCAGTCCTGTGCCAACCTCACAATCGTTGTAACAATTGAGCCCATTGCTGCTGCCACTGTGCCAATCCATCTCATCAGGGGTCTTTTTTTTTTTTTTTTTTCTGAGTTAATTAAATGTTTGACAAAATATAACAAATGAAATTTTAAGTTGATAATTTTATATGGCCTGCAAGTGATGTTACAAATTTTGGTGGAAAAAAGGTTCCCCATCCTTGCTTGAAAGGAAGGTCCTTCTTTGTCTAGTCCAACTTCTAATTACCAGAAGTCATTGGAATTCTGAGCTTATAGATGCATCTACTTTGTGTGTCTGTCTTCAGATAGCACCATTTCCCTGTGTGTTTATGTATGTGTTTATTAGTTCTACTCTTTTTATAACTCAGGAGTGATTAGATTTAGGATCCATCATACCTCTTTAACATAACAGAAGGTAAAACTTATTTCTAAACACAATCACATCCAGGGTCACCAGGGTCAGGAATTCAACACATATTGTAAGGGACACACAGTTCAATCCATAACATGGAACAAGTAATGTTAAGTCTATTGTTAACCAACAAGTCTAGTCTAGACTGAGGGCATTTCTTTGAAGAAACATCACAGACAGACCTGACAGGTAAGGAGGCCTTAGGTAAGTAAGGGAGATGGGAAGAGCAACATTCGCAAATGCCACAATCAGGGATTTAGACACTATTTTGATTGCAATGTGAAGCCACTTGAAGCCTCTATTTTTGGGAAGGACTGCTGCCGAGATGCATATGGAAATGGATGAGAAGGTTTAAGAGTGGACAATGAGCCACCAGTGGTCCAAGCAGGAGAAGAAGTTGTACTTGGACCAGGGCCCACTTGTTGAATGGCAACCTTGCCAGAGAGAGGACCCGATCATGTTCCCAAATACCATGGTATGTTTGATGAATGTTTTCGTCTACAAGTTTCAGGCAGGCCTCTCTTAAGAAGTCTTTCCTTCCATCGTATTAGAAATAGAAATTGGTGCCGGGATATGTTCAGCTACAAAATTACACAGGAAACATGGCAAGTTGGGTGAAACCTCTAATTTGAAGAAGCCACATAGACTTGTGCAGCCTGGTACAAAGCACAGAATTTTAGACGTAAGTGTAGACCTTTGTTAGTCATGGTTCTGCACTGGGCTGGCTGTACCCAGTCATCTCAGCAGTAAAATGATCAGGACTGACCTTACTCCAGATGCTGATGTGATTCATTGTTCTACTTAGAGATCAATCAGGTGACCTTGACTAATGCCAGCTTTATTTTTATTTTCTGGACATTTCTGAACTTGTCTTCAGAGTAGTTACCACTTTGTTTTGATGTTATTCTTTACTCATTTATTTTCTTTACTCATTTCTACTTTGAATTTAACAGGAAAAAAAACAACAAAAGAGGAGCCTACTAAACACTGAAACCTTCCCTCCCACTGGATTCCATTCTAGAAATAATTAGTATCCAACAACATTGTTCTAATCAATATGTCCACATTGTTCTGTGTTCTACTTTTATCCCTTTCCACAGTTTTCATGAAATAATAGGAAACATTTAATGAGTGCTTCCTATATTCCAGGCACTGTTCCAAGTACTTCTGACCTATTACCTCGTTAACACTCAGCTTCAGCCTCCCAGAATAAGTCTAGCTGTTATTCCCATGTTCCAGTTGAGAAAACTTCGTCTGTTTCCATACATACATGAGCCACGTTAACATAGCCCACATACCTGTCGTTTTATCTCATTCTTCTGTGTGAAAGAAGCCCAGTCCCTATGAAAATACATGGATTGTTTTTATACCTTTGGTTTTAAAAGTTTTTATAAATGCCTCCTTTTGGAGCATAGAAGGCAAAGATATAATTTCCATGGTGTCTCTTTCCCAAAGAATAATCAGTAAGTTAAGAGGGTTTAATAATGCTCACAGCATGCTGTCAGCTTTCTCTTCAGAAAGGCTGATCCAATTTGTGATGCCACCAGCAATGTGTACATTCATCCACTTCCCCATCTCTGCTACTGAGTCTGGTCTTTCTCATTTCAATGTAGCAGTGCATGCTGTTGTCCAAGTGGGGGTAGTTGCCATAGCAGCCTTGTACAGTGCTTAAGATATAGTCATTCTTCCAGATTTTGTATGTACAAAACAGGAGTTAGTCTCCCTGTTCCATGGACAAGTAAATGGAATCATAGACGTCAAAGACCTCATCTGGCAAAGGGTGCATGAAAAAGGAAACCGCGACTCCCCAGTTAAACTTTGTTGTTATTGTTAAGTGCCGTCAAGTTGTTTCTGACACATAGCCACCCTGTATAGGGTTTCCAAGAAGTGGCTGGTAGGTTTGAACCACTTACCTAGTGGTTCGCAGTCCAGTGCTTATAGTACAGCACCACACCAGGACTCTAGTTACTTTAGGAACATTTAACTTACTACAGACCCAAGAGAAAGGAAGGAGCCTCGCATTTTGAATATACACCATGTGTTTTATGCTGTACATTATATTAGTGAATACGCATCATGGTCTTATCCATACTTTAGAAGGAAGGGAATTGAAGCTCAGAGAGGTAAAGTTACTCATTTGAAGTCACACAGCTAGTAAGAGTCCCAAAAGTCTGGCCAACCCCTAAACCCATGTTCGTTCACTCAAACAGGATACAGGACTCTGAACAAGTCTCATTCCTTAGTCTGTCTATAGTCAAATCAGGGCCCTCCTAGATGGCCTTAGGTAATACATGAGAAGTATGTGCATTAGACTTAAGGAGCAAAAGTATATGGCCACTCAAAGCAAAGCACTTAAGGAAGAAGTTCTTTCTGCTGCCTTTTGTTGTGAGTCCTCTCGTGAAGAATTCTAGCATCGTGACTTATTCTCTAACAACCAGAGAGCTGTGCAGAGGCCCCCCCACTTCTGTTTGGTTTGGAAAACCTAGAGTGGTTCAGGATGACACTCCATCTTCCTAGTTTGCTCTTAGTGATTGACCAAATCTCTACCCAGAACGAAGGTAGACGTTCTCAAGATACACCTGTCTTGCAGGAAAGAATCACATAAGCTCTGTGTATTGGGTCCGAAAACTCTACTCTAGATGGACTGCTAATTGCTGGGTCAGCAATTCAAACCCACCAGCCACTCCTCAGAAATACTAAACAGGGTCTCTGTGAGTCAGAACCGACTCAATGGCACTTAACAACAGCATAAAATAAGAGATATTCATTGTGTAGATTTTTAAATACAAAAAGTAATAGTGAGAAGTATAAAACTTCCATGGCATATTCCCAGCTAGCGATACCATGAACACTTTGCTCTGTGTACTTGTAAGCCCTTGTCTACACAAGCTTGTGTTTTAAGGAAGCTGTGTGTGTCCGACATGTCTGAGATGAAGTCCAAGACAGGTCCCACAACAGGGCACCATGCCACACAGCACTGTCCTGTGACCACTCAACTGCTAAAACATGATTTATACAGACTACATGCTATAGCACCGCATGAATGTCCCATCATTTATTTAGCCCCAATTCCTTATTGCTGCCATTGAGAAGACCAACATGATATTTGTTTTAATGGGTATCAGTTTTAGAATTACCAGTGCTCTCTATCAGGGTGGGATTTAGAGCTGAGCCGTTCCTTTCTGACATTCTTTGTACTTTATGGTGTTTTTCTCGTAGGAACGCCCCATGTTTCTGGTGGGAAGATGCTCACCACCCTCGAATCCACGGTGTCACCCAGCCAGCCCCTGCCCGCGGGCTCCTCGGCTGTCCACATGAGCCTGCTCAACATGAGGCGAAACGTGGCAGAACTCAGGCTCCAGCTCCAGCAGATGCGGCAGCTCCAGGTCAGGTGGTACACCATGGATGGCGGCCAGTGTCTGCGTTGCCTCCTCGTGGATGGCGGCCAGTGTCTGCGTTGCCTCCTTGTGGATGGCAGCCGGTGTCTGAGTTGCCTCCTTGTGGATGGTGGCTTCTGTCTGAGTTGCCTCCTTGTGGGTGGCGGCCGGTGTCTGAGTTGCCTCCTTGTG